ACGATTATCAGATCAGACAATGCACTAGCTGGAATCTGTCATATGTTTGGTCTATTTCGAATGTACATTATGCTCCTTAACTCAATTACAAGTTGACAGCTGCTTATTCTAAGTTGCTGACATATCAGTGAAAGTAATTGGTTGATTAGCTGAGGAGCAAAGTTAGGTACATCTATCTATGGGATTAAACTGTATTGTAAATTCCTTTCATTATTGATCTCTGCTTGGACATCCATCTGTATACGTTGGCTGCTTGTAACTTTTATAAGTTAACTAATATATAATCTAATCTGGTTCTCAGCTATTGGTCGGATATTGTGTCTAAGCTTATGTGTAGCTACATATTATCTAGTGGTCAAGTCTTATTTACCTATCTGATCTTATTATGTTGACAAAACTTTTTTTCTTGTTCTACCAACTAAGTAAATCATTTGATGTTTACCTTTAAAACTAGTTAGAATGGTGAAAAAGATAAGAGAGAGTCTACTACAGGTTCGATGAATATACCTTATAAGGTCTGTACCCATGAATAGTTCAATTTCTCAATATCTTATTGAAACCATAGACCAGGTAAAGCGATACACTGACATTTATTCTAAACAGTAACAATTTTATTTCATCTTATAAACGATCCTAAATTTGCATGTTTTAGTTCTAAATGATGCATTTGCTTTAAACCTAGTCACTTTTTGAATTACTATTTGGATATACAGTTGTAGAATATTAGCCATTGTTACTCCTGTTAACAGAACCTTTATATCACCGATCAATTTTATGATATTATTGATAGTGGGTTGTGGAAACTATTGAATTTCATTGAAATCATAGATCGGTTAATGTTAGACCACCATTGAGAATCTTAAAGAACTGAACATCAGTTTCATCCTAGCATGGAACCGTTCAGCAGTGAGAAACCACAATCCTGCACATGGAAGTTGAATCCAAGACCTTCGGTTTAGTACATGGACGCTTAACCTCTAAACCACTAAGTCGGCATCCAACGATGTTAACGTCTCAATTCAATGAATCCACGATAATGGGTAACCATCTTTCATTATTTCCGGTTGGCAAATGCCTCTAACCCAGAACAGGTTAATTGCAGTGTTTGAAATGGTAGTTCATTGACACGGAGAAGTTTAAATGAAATGATGTCATTATCAGTTATTAATGGTTTGATTAGTATCTCGTTCTAGTGAATATCATTTCTTGAAATATAGACTTCTGTACAGTGTTCAGTAGAAAAACCGGTGAGACTGTAATTTATGGACAACCTTCGAGCGATGCTTAAATGACTTTGAGAGTGTTTACCTACTTACTAGGGACGAATGAGGGTTATAAAGCAGTTTGAAGAATAACGATTATGATATACAGTTGACGGTTAGGATTGAAAATTACAATTAGGGTTTTCATCACGAACTGACATCACCTATAATGTCAAGACTCTATTTATCCAAAGAGATGAGTGAATTTCACACCAAAATCTAAGACCTGTTATCGTAAATCTGATTGGTTCGTTCATAAATTATAGTCTCGCCGAAAAACGTCTGTAGTATATATTATATCTACAAGCATCTCCTGTAATACTGTTGAACATAGAGTCTAGTTAACAACAATGCTCTGTTTGAAACATGTAAAACCTGATCTGTAATGCCGCACTTTGTTCTGAAATATTACTCATTGTATTAAATGTTTGAAGAAGAATCTTCACAGTTTACCAAACATTAAAATATGTCACAGACGGTTATAAAACCAATCACTATTGCATTGCTCGTATATTCTGGGACCACTGAATAAAAAATGCAGTTGTTAGGAAACGAGTACTATGTAAGGATGGAAAATCAATTGATCAAGTAATGAGAATTAATCAGTTGAGATGACTAGGACATGTGTTACGTATGCCCAACCGCAGACTGCCCCGACATGTAATGTTTTATGGTGTACGAGCAAGTTGTAAGAAAGCTAGGGGAGGCCAGATCAAAACATGGCACAAATCCATGAAGTCACTGACAAGTGAACTGAGCTTTGTTAGTAAGTGTAGACTACCTGGTTGTTATCCGCGAGATGATAGCAACCGATGGTTAGAGACCTTGAATGACATGGCTCAAAATCGTTTGCAATGGCGCAGGTGCATCCACTCTTTGTGTTGTAATAGTGTCACCTCAAAAACAACGATTATCAGATCAGACAATGCACTAGCTGGAATCTGTCATATGTTTGGTCTATTTCGAATGTACATTATGCTCCTTAACTCAATTACAAGTTGACAGCTGCTTATTCTAAGTTGCTGACATATCAGTGAAAGTAATTGGTTGATTAGCTGAGGAGCAAAGTTAGGTACATCTATCTATGGGATTAAACTGTATTGTAAATTCCTTTCATTATTGATCTCTGCTTGGACATCCATCTGTATACGTTGGCTGCTTGTAACTTTTATAAGTTAACTAATATATAATCTAATCTGGTTCTCAGCTATTGGTCGGATATTGTGTCTAAGCTTATGTGTAGCTACATATTATCTAGTGGTCAAGTCTTATTTACCTATCTGATCTTATTATGTTGACAAAACTTTTTTTCTTGTTCTACCAACTAAGTAAATCATTTGATGTTTACCTTTAAAACTAGTTAGAATGGTGAAAAAGATAAGAGAGAGTCTACTACAGGTTCGATGAATATACCTTATAAGGTCTGTACCCATGAATAGTTCAATTTCTCAATATCTTATTGAAACCATAGACCAGGTAAAGCGATACACTGACATTTATTCTAAACAGTAACAATTTTATTTCATCTTATAAACGATCCTAAATTTGCATGTTTTAGTTCTAAATGATGCATTTGCTTTAAACCTAGTCACTTTTTGAATTACTATTTGGATATACAGTTGTAGAATATTAGCCATTGTTACTCCTGTTAACAGAACCTTTATATCACCGATCAATTTTATGATATTATTGATAGTGGGTTGTGGAAACTATTGAATTTCATTGAAATCATAGATCGGTTAATGTTAGACCACCATTGAGAATCTTAAAGAACTGAACATCAGTTTCATCCTAGCATGGAACCGTTCAGCAGTGAGAAACCACAATCCTGCACATGGAAGTTGAATCCAAGACCTTCGGTTTAGTACATGGACGCTTAACCTCTAAACCACTAAGTCGGCATCCAACGATGTTAACGTCTCAATTCAATGAATCCACGATAATGGGTAACCATCTTTCATTATTTCCGGTTGGCAAATGCCTCTAACCCAGAACAGGTTAATTGCAGTGTTTGAAATGGTAGTTCATTGACACGGAGAAGTTTAAATGAAATGATGTCATTATCAGTTATTAATGGTTTGATTAGTATCTCGTTCTAGTGAATATCATTTCTTGAAATATAGACTTCTGTACAGTGTTCAGTAGAAAAACCGGTGAGACTGTAATTTATGGACAACCTTCGAGCGATGCTTAAATGACTTTGAGAGTGTTTACCTACTTACTAGGGACGAATGAGGGTTATAAAGCAGTTTGAAGAATAACGATTATGATATACAGTTGACGGTTAGGATTGAAAATTACAATTAGGGTTTTCATCACGAACTGACATCACCTATAATGTCAAGACTCTATTTATCCAAAGAGATGAGTGAATTTCACACCAAAATCTAAGACCTGTTATCGTAAATCTGATTGGTTCGTTCATAAATTATAGTCTCGCCGAAAAACGTCTGTAGTATATATTATATCTACAAGCATCTCCTGTAATACTGTTGAACATAGAGTCTAGTTAACAACAATGCTCTGTTTGAAACATGTAAAACCTGATCTGTAATGCCGCACTTTGTTCTGAAATATTACTCATTGTATTAAATGTTTGAAGAAGAATCTTCACAGTTTACCAAACATTAAAATATGTCACAGACGGTTATAAAACCAATCACTATTGCATTGCTCGTATATTCTGGGACCACTGAATAAAAAATGCAGTTGTTAGGAAACGAGTACTATGTAAGGATGGAAAATCAATTGATCAAGTAATGAGAATTAATCAGTTGAGATGACTAGGACATGTGTTACGTATGCCCAACCGCAGACTGCCCCGACATGTAATGTTTTATGGTGTACGAGCAAGTTGTAAGAAAGCTAGGGGAGGCCAGATCAAAACATGGCACAAATCCATGAAGTCACTGACAAGTGAACTGAGCTTTGTTAGTAAGTGTAGACTACCTGGTTGTTATCCGCGAGATGATAGCAACCGATGGTTAGAGACCTTGAATGACATGGCTCAAAATCGTTTGCAATGGCGCAGGTGCATCCACTCTTTGTGTTCTTCCAAATTCCAATCTTCTGAATTCTTCACGTCCCTTTTTTCTCTTTCCGAATTTAATTCACTGTATTATACTCATTGAATAACATGTTCATACCCTAATCTTTCGGATTACTGCTTATACTCTTATTATCTCTACCACTACGGGATTTGAATCGACAACTGCGTGCGTACGAAGTTCTAAGTTGTTAATGACTGACAGACGGACTAAAGACTATCGAAATAATATAAAGACAGTGAAAAAAGAAAACAAAGAGTAAAACAATAACCAATCAAAATTAAGATCGACAAAACAGGCTACTAATCAGTAGTTGATGTGAACATTCGAAAAGATCAATTCTTTTTTAAAGCTTTCTCCAAGATGATGTTATTTCAAAGAATAATGAAAGTTATACGAAAAGAAAGAAAAAAATCCTTCAGTTCAAAGAATACAATTCCCTTGAAATGGTATCAAGAAGTTGATCATATAATTAAACTATTATATTATTATAAATAGAAAAATGTTTTGTTGCTAACGTTTAAAAAATATTTGTCACTTACAACATTTGAACATTGTAATGTCATATTTGATATCTTTTATAGAATAATTTGAAGGAATTCATCGTTGAACTATAGTGACTATTTCTATATTGAATAGTTATGTACACAAGGATACTTTAACTTATTTTCTAACTTGGAGATCAATATTTTTACTTGTAAACAACTTTATCCGGATTAGTTTCAGTAACCTGAAAAACAAGCAAATAAACAAACAAAAATTCAAGATTTTTTATTGTTCATTTAGAAACTGTTAGAACTAGATATATTTTATGATCTTACAAGATAAGATAAGACGCGCAATGCTGACTTGTGTTCGGGATGGTAGGAAGAAAGTTAAAGGAGGCAAAACTATTGCGCGGCATCAGTCTGTAAAACCACTAACTTCTAGTCTGTGCCATGTGGGTGGTAGATGCAGACTAATTGGTGGGGGTCCGCGTGATTATCGTAACCAATGGTTGAAGACTTAGAATGGATCACAATGGCATAGGTGTATACACTCTCTGTCTTCCCTTAAACTATGAGATTAAAATCGCTTCATATCTTTCTTTCTACCAACTAATTCTTTCTTCCTGTACTATATCCTTATATGCAATCTTTCTTTTATGTATTACCACCACTGAATTAACTACTTCTATGAATTCGATGTTCATCTTGTTGTGCAAATGAGGTGTGGCAACTTGGACCGATGCATATAAATGTGCCTGGTCCTACGTTGAAGCTGAGTGACTGGTGATCTTACAAAGTAACTGCCTATACACAAGCTTTGTTTGCACTTTCTTAGTAAAGAAAGACAAACGAAACTAATAAAGAAATAATTAGAAGCTTTAATTAGCAAAATGAATGGTGTATAAGAAGCAAACGGATTTTACACATTCGTTATTCTAATCCAGACAAGGATATGTCGTCTGAGATGTTGACTAGATACATAATCATCATCTTCCGGTAGAATGACTAGTTTATAATATTTCATGTACCAATCGACTTTGAAATGATAAATGAGTATAGGGATTTGATGCTATTTAAATAATGCCTACAAGTCAAACTGAAAACATACTAGAAGCGAAGAGAAACTAGATTCATTTGTTTTACATAGGGAACTATTCTCAAAATTAACAATCTTCGAAAACTATTAGTAATGGTGGATAGTGGCTAATAGTAAAATCCAAGAAGTGTGTTTTGTCTTATTTGAAATTTGGCAGCTAAAAGTACCTGAAAAACAGAGTTGATATATAGTACTGAGTTTGAGTCTTTGAGTGATCATGAGAGGTGGGTATATCCTACTGAAGATTCCAGAATAAAACAGAAAGCATGTCAGGACTTTACTGCTAGCCGCTATCTATCTCTGCTTCTAATGGTTGTGAATTTATCCCAATATCGAGTCAATTCACACAGGATGCACATTTGTCAAGAGATTGATCAATTGAAGTATTAAACATTAATGGGAAGATACAAACAACCAATAAAAAATGAATTAAATTTCGAAATTATTTCAATCCAATAACAATCATACATTTGCTTGTGTCTAACATCGAGATAAATTTCATAAAACATAAGTACGAGGCCTTAAGCGATGAAGTTCAATCATCTCGAGATTGAAATAGATATCATTGATGGAACAAAGTTGCTTAATGATACCAAGTGACTGAAATTAACTATTTCTACCACTAGATTACTGATTCAAAAGTTACATATCGGGATACTGGATCCAATCTTTCATAAGGTTGTGAATTAGAACTGTTAAAGAATGAAAATTAACAAAGGAAACAACTATTCAATGCTTTATGGTTTTTAATGATTTACTATATAAGCTAACTTTCCACTTAGAAACTAATGATCAGATCAAATTTTAAAAAAAATTACTTGTGAGGATTACGTTTCTTAGGAGTCAATTTTTCAATACTCTTTTATAACTGTTTTCTTTCATACATTAATCTGACAATATCTATTTGTGTTACGTATACTAGAGTGATCGTGTGGTGCGTGCTACTTATATTGATATAAGTAGTATATGACGCGAGTTAAAAACGTAATATCTGGCAGCAGAAGATGGGGGAAGATCAAGAAAGTAAGAGCAGGAACACAATGCAATTTGTAAGAAAATGCATGAACAATGAAATGTGAGACAATGGATTGATGTTTGCAACAGGAACAGTCCGGTTTGATGTGATGGATTGATATTTCGCAAAACAATGATTTACTATGTGGTTTTTCTATTTTACCAAGTAGTTCTGTAATTTAGTCCTAAGCACGGTTTGGCTGTCCCCTAACCGTGTTCTGTTCACTACAATAGTTCACTGGACTGATTCACTTTCCTGATCAAATGATATTAGTTAATTGTGTAGAAATACAACTTTACAAATATTAGTAATGGGAAATATCTTATTTACACTAGCATGCTTCACAAAACGTAAGCAGATACGGTTTACGAATCAAGAAATGTGTTTAATTATTGCTGATCAATACTCATAAAAAAAATCGATATGATGGAATGACAAGTCGAAATTCGATTGATTTATCGATTATGAGTTTTATTCAACATTAATTCCATTTTGATTGAATGTAATGATTATTCAATGGAGTATTTGTTACTGCTATCCCAGTATGATATTCTCTTCTGTATAATATGCGAGATATTCTTGTATTCCATTGAAATGAACTATGCTCAGTCTGTGATTTGTTATAACTGAGTATGTGATTTCATCCTAATTATTAATCAAAGTGTGTGTACAATCAATATATAAATGAGTGTATTTTCGACTAGAGTTGTCGTCGTCGTTGTTGTGTTTTGGGGATTAATGAATCTTCACATATACCAGCCTTTGTATTTTCACTTTCACATCGTGGGAATTGTAGAAGTCCCTCGTTCCCAGTACAAATGATAAGCATTTCCAATATAACAATCAGCGATGACCAGATATAACAAGAAGTATTCAAACAAGAAGATATATCAGTGATGACGAGGATTTCGGGAGAAATCCACAACATATATCAAGTAGGTTATCAATTCTATTGTCATACGTTGAATTTAATCAATAATCACACAAGTCATAATAAAGTCCGTAACAGAAACGGTCACCAATACAATTGAAAAATCTGTTCATTTTGAAAAATTCATAAATGTATATTAGATCAAGTTACCAGTGCATATTTGAGATGAAGGAACTAACAAATAGCACTGAACGGTAGGACTGAATAAGGAGCCTTTGTATTTTTACTTTCGCGTCATAGGAATTGCAGAGCTCCCTTGTTTCGAGTATAAATGATAAGTGTTTCCTACATAACAATCAGCGATGACCAGATATAACAAGCAGCATTCAAATGACAAGTTATAACAACATTTAGTTTTGATTCTTTATATAAAATGATATTCGAAATCTTTAAAACTGGAAGCATATCACATCCAAACATTTTATATTCAAAGAGAATGAAAATACTTAATCAGAATCTAGAAAATTATTAAACGATCCTTTTCTTTCCAAAATTATAAATATTTGGACGGATTGAATATGGTTAGCGGCTGAATTCAGAATGGGCATTATTTTGTTCTATTTAGGACTCATCTACTAGATGTACCTGCATCTTAGAGTTGATACTTACTCTGATATCCGATCTTAGTACCTTTAATTTCAAACATTGAACGCATGATAACCTTAACTACAGAGTTCAGAGATCCACTCACTTGTGCAACATATATGAATCATGAAATAATTTTTAATGATTTAGATTATCCATTGTTAGCTATATCTCACCTGTTCTATACAAAGTTGTGGCATACTGGAAGTATCTAGGCAGATTGCACAGAATACACATATGGCAGCAAAAACTGAGCAAATGATTGTTTTCTATACAATGATGATCAGGATCTATGGTTATAAATCTCTAACTATTGTATGATAGTAACTAAAATCTGAAACGAGGGAGAGCAGCAGGCCCTGACAGGTTTACTCCTGAGATTTTTGAGGATGGTGGTCCAGTATTAGCAATGAGATTAACCGAGGTCATAGGTAGAATTTGGGAACTGGACGTAATCCCATCTGACTGGTCTCAATCACTGATTGTGCCAGTCTATAAGAAAGGACAAAAGTCCTCCTGTGACAATCACAGAGGAATCAGTTTGACTAATATAGTGTCTAAAATATTAGCTTCAATAATACTTCGACGCCTAATCAAAGCTCGTGAAGAGCAGATTAGAGAAAACCAGGCCGGTTTTCGACCTGGACGTGGTTGTATAGATCAGATATTCACACTACGTCAGGTTCTAGAACACAGACACACATTCAGACGCCCCACAATGGTAGTATTTCTCGACCTTAAGGCGGCATTCGACTCTGTTGATCGTGATGTTCTATGGCAGTGTTTGTCACTGAAAGGAGTACCAAAGAAGTACATTAACCTTATAATGGCTCTCTACTCGAACACAACTGGTAGAGTGAGAGCTTATGGCGAACTGTCATCAGAATTGATTACCTCAAGTGGTATTCGTCAGGGCTGTCCACTCTCCCCATTCTTGTTCAACTTTGTGGTCGACGTACTTTTAGATATAACACTCTCCTCATCTAAATTTACAGGGGGTGAACTTCTACCGGGAGGTTCACTTGTTGACTTAGAATATGCAGATGACATAGTTTTATTTGGTGAAGACGCTGACAAAATGCAGAGTCTTCTGACCACTCTAAGCAACAATGCAAGCATGTTCGGGATGCGATTCTCTCCCTCGAAATGCAAAATGTTGCTTGAGGATTGGGTGTCGACCGCTTCACTTATCTTGGAAGTCTCATCAGCCCTTGTGGTCTTGTATGTGACGAAATCTCAAATCTCAGCACGGATACAGAAGGCTCGACTAGCTTTTACCAACTTGCGTCATTTATGGCGTAGGCGAGATATCCGTCTATCAACCAAAGGACGTGTTTACTGCGCAGCAGTTCGTTCCGTCCTACTTTATGGCAGTGAAACATGGCCGGTAAGAGTAGAGGATATCCGTAGGCTACTAGTATTTGATCATAGGTGTCTTCGAAACATTGCTCGTATATCATGGGACCATCGAGTAAGTAACACAGTTGTTAGGAAACGGGTACTAGGTAAGGATGGCAAATCAATTGATGAAGTAGTGAAACTTCATCAGTTGAGATGGCTTGGACACGTGTTACGTATGCCCAACCACCGACTGCCTCGACGTGCTATGTTCAGTGGTATAGGAGTAAGTTGGAAGAAAGCTAGGGGCGGCCAGACCAAAACATGGCACAAGTCCATGAAGTCACTGACAAGTGAACTGAGTCATGTTGGTAGGTGTAGACTACCTGGTTGGGGACCGCGAGATGATAGCAACCGATGGTTAGAGACCCTGAATGACATGGCTCAAAATCGTTTGCAATGGCGCAGGTGCATCCACTCTCTGTGTTCTCCCAAATTCTAATCTTCTGAATCCTTCATGTCCCTTTTTTCCTCTTTCCAAATTTATTTCACTGGATTATACTCTTTAAATAACATCTCCAAACCCTAATCTTCCCGATTACTGCTTATACTCTTATTACCTCTACCACTACGGGATGTGAATCGACAACTGCATCTTTGTGCTAATGTGGTGTGGCAACTCGAACTGATGTACGTACGTACGAAGTTCTACGTTGTTACTGACTGACTGAAAATAAGGCATACTGAAATAAGTGGCAAGTGAAAATCTAAATAAAAATGAAGGGAACATTATACCACTGTTTCATTGATGGTATATTAACCTAAACATTTTGATTATTATCCAGTAATCAAAATCAAGCAACACACTTTTAAAATCTTTTGAATAAAGAGAATTCAGTGAAGAACGTTTTCATTTCGACGAAATCATTTACTTAAGCTGTACATTCTTAATTACTAGTTCCATACAGAAGCTTTAATCAATTATGAGTCTTCTTTTAAAGTAATCTACACAATCGAAGGAATTGGATCGAGGGGAAGTCAAATCAATATTTTATGCACTGCTGAGGCATTGGTAATCCACAAACTCAAACCTAAACTTTTCGTGCATAAATGATTTGTTCAACCTTCCAACCATCCTTGGCCCTAATTCTCCTTAGTGGTACGTTTCAGTTTTTTCCTTCTTTTTTCATTTTTATTTGATTATTATTGCTTTCAGAAGAGTTTTTGTGGAGATTTTAGAAATTTCACTAGTTGAAATCATGAGTCAGTTGGAGCTAGACCACCATGGAAAACCTGGAAGCACTGGACGGCTGTTTTGTCCTAGTATAGGACGACTCAGCAGTGCACATCCACGATCCCGCTTCCCGCGAGATTCCAACCCAGGAACTATCAGTTTTGCGCGCGAGCGCTTAACCATTAGACCACCACCGCCGGCACCCAGCGGTGTTAATGTCTAACCTCAACCAACCCACAAAATTGCACCACCGTACACAATTGTCTTCAGTGAGCTGATATCTCACAACAGACCTGGTTGGACTCCACTGGTAACAGATTCTCACTAGAACTCCAGGAAATGCCTCTTGACGTCAGTCACCAGTGAGTAGATGATTATTATCAGAAGGGGTTTTGTAAAAATTTTGTAGTTTTAAACTGTTACCAATTGTTGTTATCCCTAAACATGATTATGACCTTTATGTTTATCGTTTTTCTTCATATCTGTCGATTGGACAATTATCTGACCCATAAATTATTTTCATCTTTATATTCCTTCATTACTCCTTGATTATTGCGTAACCTCAGTTGAGTCTCGAATCAATTTACGATACAATCTTTTCTATCCTTATATAGACTCATATATTTACTATATAACTATAAATACGAATGTACAGAAGGGGTTTTGTGGAAATTGTAGTAATTTTATAGTTGAATTCATAAGTCAATTGAATATTGCAGAGCAGGATCGTGGATGCGCACTGCTGAGAAGTCCCAAACTAGAACGAAACGACCGTCCAGTGCTTCCAGATTTTCCATGGTGGTTTAGCTTTAATTGACTCACGAATGTACAGCTTAAGTAAGTAATTTCGTCGAAAAGAAAATTTTCCTCGCTGAATTCTGTTTATTTTTATTTATTTTTGGATAAATCAGTTAGATCTATACAAATCATCGTTTACTAACTTTTAGGTTGATTTTTTTCTAAATGGAATATTTTATGTATTCAGTATGACAACTACTACTTGTATTAGCTTACGTATATTTTTACAAAAGAGGTTGCATAGTTGAAATAAATACTATGATATGTCAATTTGTTGACAAAGCAAAGTTTTCTATAAACAAGTTTTTAATATTCACTTGCTGTTGTTTTTTTACTTGTATCTTCCCCTTTTTATTTAGGACTGCAATTGATCAGTCTCTTATTGGCATGTGTGCATCCTGTGCTGATTGCCTCGATATAGCCCTAAGTCACAAGCTTTTTAAGTAAAGATGGATAGTAGCTAGCGGTGGAATCCACGACATGCGTTTCGTCCTATATGGGACTCGTCATCTGGTTGTACCTACATCTCACAGTTGATGTTCACTCTGGGACTCGATCCCAGTACCGTTCACTTCAAATGCCATCGCGTGATGTTTCCGATTACTGTTTATACTCTTAACATCTCTACCACTATGGGATTTGAAACGACAACTGAATCTTTGTGCTAATATGGTATGACAACTCGAACTGATGTACGTACGTACGAAGTTTAACGTTGTTACTGACTGACTGACTGACTGAATATCCACTTGGCTACTGAGTCCTGATAGCCACCTGCTTATGCAATGGAGTGAAGTTTAAATTCACATTGTGTTGTTTTTTTACTTATCACAAGCGTTTTAAGCAGAGATGGATAGTGGCGATACTGTATAATATTTAGTTATTTCTATCAGTAAAAGATTTTATTCATCGATTAACTTCACATTAATATTTTCTTGTAAATGTGGGTACATTGAATGTTAACTTCTTTGTCTTTTGCTTTATTTGAACAATAATACAACCAATAAATCAATATGTATTCAGTTATATATACTTAATCATATAAAAATTAATGTAATAGAATAAAAAGTAATACAAATTAGTTAAGTCAATGTTTACATAGTAACCATTATCTATTTTATATACAGATATATGTATGTGTAGAACATACCTGACTTTCTAACATTTGTTTACGTGCTTCAATGTATTCAACATAACGTTTAATACGGCATAATGTATTCAATAAACAGGTTGCTGTAATTCCAAGCGGAAAAGATATTGCTACTAGACTTAGACCAATTGCTGCAAGCCAACTGATTAAAAAAAAACAAGTTTTAACATTCTTGATAAATTTCAAAGAGCTTACTTTCAATAAGAAAACATTAAACAGCAATTTTTTGGTAAGTTTGATCATGTAGTTATTATTGAAAGTATATTTGATTCTCGTTTCAATAGGAAAGACAATTATGAATAAATCCTACTGTCTTTAAACATGAATACCAGTGAATTTCAACCAGGTCCGTTGTCACTCACTAAATACAGTGGTAGACGGTGGTGCAATCAAATAGATTGGTTGAAGTTAAACATTAACATTGTTGGATTCCCTTTCAGTGGTCTCGAGGTTACGTGTACACAGGCAAAACCGATAAGCTCCGGGTTCGAATCTCCCGGGTGGGATCGTGGGTGCGCACTACTGAAAGGTTCCATACTAGGATGAAACGATCGTCCAGTGCTTTCAGGTTTTTCATTGTGGTCTAGCCTAATTGACTCATCAAGTCAATTATTAAATTAAAATACTATAATTCATATGTGTATACTTATGGTTATAATTCCATTCAAATAATAACTATTGTTATTTCTATGCTTCATTAAACATGTTTGCACAAGAAAATGACTTGATCGTATTAAAAACTGATATTTATTTTAATGTTGGTAATAAAAACAAAACCCACTTAGTTTTATTGATTGAAAGGTTTTAGTTGATGTATCAGATATTAGAACTTCCAAGGTCATTCACTACTCACGTATTGGATGTTGTTCAAAACTTCTTTTTACTCACGAAAACTTCTTAGCGAAATACGTTTATTTATATTTATTTATTTAAGCAGACAAACATTGGTAAAAAGAAGTACCAAATAGATATGTACCACACAAATCATTCGATTTATGTGAGGGATGGAATACTGCCTGGATGCCCAAACGGAAGGAGGTGGTTTTCTTAGGGAGCCACACTCCAAGCTTTTGACCTAAAGGTCTAATCCACAAGGCAGTGGAGCAACGTAAGGAGATTCACTCCCATGGTAGCCGGTGACCTACGATTGGTTCATACGCCATTTGTCTCCATAGGATCCTGGAGTCCATGTGCACCATTGGTTTGGAATCAGGGTTTTCCAACTTCCCTAGGTGGACTCTCCGTTTCCACTAACCCAGTTAAAGCGCCGTACATTCGCTTTTCGTCCTCTCAATTTCGTAGAAAACAGTAATGCCGTGAGAACGTGGTGAATAGGACTTCCCTGGCAGTGGTTGTATGCATGTGGCCATTCGAGAGGGAGAGATGACTCTCCTCACTCTCGGCCGTACCAGAGCATTTGGGGGCCACTCATAAATAACAATAAGAGAATAATAGTTCATAAAAGATGTAAATGTATCCTCTTAAAATCAGAACAAATATTTGATATTGTAAGCGGTCTGTTATATGTACTAGTAAATGATAGATGTTGGATTAGAATTCAAATGACTTGAAATACTGAAATCAAGAATTTTATAAGTTAAAACTATTCGTTTTAAAGTCTAGTTCAGTGGTGTTAAGGAATTAGAATGTTCCGCAAAATAGATCTATCTTAGATTATATACTTTAAAATAGCGTGAAGCGATAGGATTACACTGAGTGATGGTTATGGTACATAAGTAATGAATTAAAGTTGGGCAAAGTCTCAATGATACCCTACGAGACATTAGACGTGGAAAATTTCATTTGAATTCCCTGTATAATCATTCCTACACTCTACAAGAATGTAAAATATGTTCTGTTCCTCGGTTTCCAATGGACCAATATAAGTCAGTGATGAGATTGGACTTATATCATATCATCATATCTTATTAATTATTAATTCAACCCTCCTGATTGGTGTGCAAATTTGTCGCAAATTAATATCAGACTTCTTTGAAGCCTCAAGTTATCATCTATATATGTACACGATGATCTAGACATGATCTTTTAATTTCTGCGTAAATGCTTTGAGTTTACTTTATTACATCGGTTCAATGAACTGAAAATTGCACAAAAGTTAGTATGATTCCAGACATTGATCGAACATTACATTATATCACAAACTGAATCCAGCTTAAAATATCAACTTATTGATGTAAGTATACAGTAATTTGAATAGTTACGAAAGTAAGACAACGATATTGTTAGCCCCAATTTATCAATAGTATTATGAAAGCGTATTTTTCAAAATAAAAAAATCGAAGAACTACAGAATCGTTATAATATAACGATTGAACGGTAAGAATTAAGGAAACACTTTCACTGGTTTTCGTGACCCGTTTATCCAGTTACCTAAGTACCGATGAATCGATAATATTTTTTCCCAAATTAGTTTACCGTGCTAGAATGAGAGAGAGAGGTTTAAATTTAGCTATAAAATTCTTAGTTAATGCCCAATGTTGAGCTAACTCGATGCCGGAACCTCGTCTCTTCCTTGGGCTTTGGAATGGCAGTAACCTTAAAATAGATCCAGCTGTAGTAGTGAGGAGGTTGATTCTATGACCTTTGCGATAAGCACAGGTTTAGAGTAGTGCGTTATGACTTACATTAAGACATTTATTTGGGAGTTCTTTAAACGATGTTCGTTAATAATGAATTCGTAAGGTTTAAGCTATGCAAAATGATCAGAGTAGAGTTATCCATACTTATCTTTATGAGAAAATTTAATCTACACAATTTCTCCTTCACATATTAAGGTAAAATAGACTTTATTGGTCCAAATCAAATAAACAATATCTCGTATACAAACCATTTCCTCACAGACTAAGCTATGGGATGCAAACAATATATTCATTTGTGTCATTTCAAATAATGTTGTTATCATTTTGAAAGTACATAAGAAATATAAAATTATTAACAATTACGCTAGAATATAATTTTTTTCTTAACAGACACGTCTACTTACTAGAACTTCAGGAAACACATCTTGAAGGCAATCACTAGTAAGCACATGACAATTATTGTCCACAAACTCTCATTCTGAAAATAAGTATCATGTGCTTACTAGTGGCTGGCTTCAAGATGTATTTCCTGGAGTTCTAGTGAGTAGATGTGACCGATGAAGTCAAACTGTATCTTTTATGAGGCCGTTAATCACTGAATACAATGGTGGACGGTCGAGTAACATTGTGGATTGGTTGAAGTTGGACATTAATATTGTTGGATGCCGGCTCAGGGGCCTAGAGATTAAGTGTTCTCATGACAGACCGAACTTCCTGGGTTCGATTTCCACGAGCGTACTCGTGGATGCACACTGCTAACGAGTATCATACTAGGGCGAAACGGCCATCCAGTGCTTTCAGGTTGTCAATGATGGTTTAGCTTAAATCGGCTCATGAATTCAATCATTAACTCACTACAATTTCCACAAACTCTCATCCCTTGTTTTAGTTGTAATCAAATTATTTCCATAGTAATTCAAAAAAGGATATAATAGTCTTTTATCATTGAATAATAATTAATGTTCCATTCAAATTAGAATTGAAAATTTCTTATGTTAAAACATTTGATTAGCTTTATTAAACATAAGCGCTCACGCGTGAGACTGATATTTTTCTAGGTTCGAATTTCGCTAAGCGGGATCGTGTCTGTGCACTCCTGAGGAGTCTTCCCACAATAAGACGAAACGGCCATCCAGTGCTTCCAAATTTTCCATGATGGTTTAGCTTCAATTGACTCATGATCTCAACTATTAAAATTACTATAATATCCACACGAAAAAACCCTTTCTCATATGATCATTTACACAACTACTCTATCTTATAATAGTATTGTTAACTTAAAACAATTAGTCCCATTTGATAAATTTCGATCATGCAATGAGAAGATGAAGTTTATCAGAATTATGTGGTGATATATTTGCGCAATACATTTCGAACAATCTGATCACACCGAATATACTTGTTAAGAACATTTATATATGAAAATTAAAAGGTCAACTAGACAGGTTAACGGTAAGCCATAACAAAGAAAAAATAATAATAATATTTCCTGATTGAGATCATGAACCGATTGATGTTAGACAACCACCTTTGGAAACCTGGAAGCATTGGACGGCCGTTTCGTCCTATTGTGTGACTCCTCAGAAGTGCGTATCCACGATCCCGCTCGCGGGATCCGAACCCAAGGCCTTCGGTCTTGCGCGCGAACGCTTAACCTACTGGACCACTGAGCCGGCATCCAATGGTGATAGTGTGTAACATCAACCAATCCACGAAATTGTGCGACCATCTTCCATTGTACTGAGGTAGATACTTGTCTCTACCCGACATGGATTAGCTCCACTGGTCACGGCTTCTCACTAGGAGGTCTTGGGTTCAAATCCCACAAGTGGGGTCATGGATACTCACTGATTAGAAGTCCCACAATAGGACGAAACGGCCATCCAGTCCTTCCAGGTTTCCAAAGGTGGTGGTCTAACATTAATCGGTACATGATTTCAATCAAAAACTTAATAATCTCCACAACCCCTCTACTAGTAATAATAATATTAATGTACACAAAAACAATGTAATTAACACTCTGGATAAGAAATCAGTATTACCAGGGTAGGTTAAGTGTAAGGACAAAATGTTTTTGAACACATAAAGGTGGTTTCAATTTCCGTATAACCAAAGCTTTAATAAACCTTAGGATACGTCCTTGAAGGCTTTTGTATAACACTACAAATGCTGACTTGATGCCAACCATACGATCACTCTCAGATTGTTTGAAAAGTATTGCGCAAATATATCACAATTCTGATATATATATATATATATATATATATATATATATATAACTCCGCCTGGAGCCCCTCTGGGGCTACTGCTGGTCCCAAGCCCAGACAGAGGAGGTGAGTTGGACATGGGGTTAGCGACCTCATCCCTCATCACTAAAAAAAGCTAACCAAAAACCAAAATAATAACTTACTAATTTTCATCTCTATAATATAATGATGGACCATAAGCCAATTTTAAACTCATTCCAACAATCATGAATATGATTGTTAAACAACATAATATAATTGTAACAATAAGAGTTTGTAATGTTGTTGGTTTTCTTTCTTTTATTATTGTGATATCATCAAATTCTGATTTAATATTTTGATTTTTCCACTTATTTTTCACCATTTGATAAGAAGAAGAATAATATACATTAGACTAATAGTAATAATCTTGTCATTATGTTAATGATATTGACTATAATTAGTAAGTAATGTGTAACTCATTTTAAATATTTATCCATTTGACCTTGAAAATCTCTGTTTTTATTGGTTAATTGTAATGAATAATTTACAAGGTTATAATAGTTATAGGTGTGTCTCATGTCTCACCCATTTATTGATTAATTGGGATGAAATAAATAAATCAATATTTCATTTATGATTTTATTGGATAAAATTTTTAAAATTGAAATGTACCAACACAAATTGAATTTAGACATTAACAACGTGGGTTTGAATTTCGCAGGTTGGTTTCGTGTATGTACACTGCTGAGGAGTCCTGTACTAGGACGAAACGGCCATTCAGTGCTTTCACGTTCAGTATGGTAGTCTAGCTTCAATTGACTCATGAAGTCAATTATTAAATAAATATAGAATTATGAGTCTATTGGATAAATTTGTAAAACTGAATTGTATCATCTCATATTGAAGGTAGACACTAACACCGTTGAATGCCGGCTCAATGGTATAGAGGTTAAGCGTTCACGCATAAGATCGAAGGTTCTGGGTTCGAGTCCCACGTTCTGTTTCATGAATAAGTACTGCTAAAGAGTCCCGTACTCGGACGAAACGGCTATCCAGTGCATCCAGGTTTCTCAGAGCAATTTAGCTTACAATGATTCATGAATTCAAATATTAAATAAATATTCAGTTTATGCGTTTATTTGATAAAACTTATAAAATTGGAATGTATCATCCCATATTGAAAATAAATACCGGTCTAAGATTTGTTGAAAAGATGATTTTGACAATTGAAGACCTGAAAAGATCTACTGTTTGCATGGTAAACCCTTTTGATAATTAAAAAAAGATTTAGAACGTCGTAATGAAGAATATGCCATTATGTTTCTATTTGATTGTTTAAATAATCAGATAGAGACTTTTAGAGTTTAACTTTTAAAAATTAAACCGCTCCTTTGAGACTATAATTTATGGATGACCTTGGGGAGATTCTAAATGACCTTGAGAATGTTCACTTAGTTACTAGGACTAGATCAAGGTTATAAACCAGTGTGAGTAATTAGAATTATAATTTATAGTTGATGATTAAGGTTAAGAATTAGATTTAGAGTTTTCATTACGACGAACTGACACCAAGTAAAATGCCAAAACTTCATTAAGCCAAATGGATGGGTGAATTTCGAGCACAAAAAATCCAAAACCTTTATCTTATATCTGATTGGTTCATCCAAAATTATAGTCTTGCCGAGGTCAAAATAATTTAAGGATTAAAAGTATAAGAGATAATTGACCAATTGTGTTAGCGGAATATAGATTGGATTAACGCATGTTCCTCACAGGAATATGTTCGTGGACGCTGATTGGCCATTTCTTATTCAATCAGCGCTAATCGATACATGGAGAAGACTCCAGAATCTTCTCATGTAAAAACTAAAATATACTAACGTTTCCCTTATTGTCCTTCTTACTTCCATCTACTCTTCTTATTTGGAATATAATCTCTTTCCTGTTCAACCGTATTCTTATTTGGAGACTTGTTGAATGAATTGGTGTCCAAGAATACTAGGCAATAGAAATAGCTTGTTTAGTATGAAGAGCATACGAAAGAAATGAATGATAGCAACATTTAATTAATAATTATAAGGTAATTTGGAGTATGGAGAATGAAAGACTGAATATAACTGTTTTGTATAATGAATTCAAGGTTAAACGGTTGAATTGCTAAAGTCATTTTATTGATCAAGATCTTGAATTGATGTACTTTTAAACAAAACATCATGTCTGTGTCGATAATTCTATAAGATATTTTCTGTGGGATAGTTCAACGTATATCGATAATGGAAATTTGAGTATTTTTTATTCTAAGTTGATTTTCTATTTATAGGACTTAGTAAAGTTCAGTTATAACTCCTCCTAGAGTCCCTTCGGTGGCTACTGCCGGTCCCAAGCCCGGATAAAGGAAGAGGGTTGGGTATGGGGTTAGCGACTCCATCCCATAGAAAACTAACTCGCTAAAAAAACGCTAACCAGAAAGTTCAGTCCTGAAGTTGATGAATGTAAATGAAATTCATCAGTTATTGATCGGTATATTCTATTCTCTGGAATAGTTGCCAAATGATTAACGACAAAAGAGCTTACAACTGAACTCATCGAAACTTCATCGTTTTTTTCCCTATAGAACTCATTAATAGATATAAACTGTATGTTAAAGTTAAATCATGGAAGTAGTATACTTAAATCATCATCAAGAGATTGAAGCACTGACTGAAAATGCTTCAGACTTATTCATATGTATTTCAAACTACTTAACAACATAATGAACTTCCAAAATCTTCAGTACCATGTTTGTGGCTTGCAATTTGGGCCGATACATATATGTACCTGGTCCTACATTGTAACTGACTGACTGATATTCTTGACGTGGAGGCTTTCACTTAACCAAATTAGCAAAACTTTTTAGTATCCGCTTCATTACCCATCATCTTATTGACGGAGGAGCGATTCGGATCCTATAGCAAAACATCACTTTCTTCAAGATATGTCAGTTACATCTTGTAATTCAGGTTAATGGTTTCATGAATATTGATGAACATACGATTTTTCACCTTGTAATGAGTAGTTTTTATGCAAATTTATAATGTAATACAATTAGACTATTGTTTACTCATTGTTATGCATATTAAATGATTGTATCATTTAAACATATTTAAGAATAAATCAGTTATATTTTAGCTTTTGTAAACATTTCACTTTATGTTAATAGACAAGGAGCTTTAAATAAGATAGAATTTAATTAAAATCTCTATACTACTCTATTTAATTATATATCTGAAAATGTATGGGTGATTAAAGCAAATTCAATATTCTTAAGATTTATGGATCATCTTTGATGCTTTCATGATGTTAGTCTGACTGTAAAAGATCGGATTTACAACTCACCGGTGTGAGGAGATTTGCTATGTGATTGTAAAACCTAGGCTCTCGAAGATGAGGATGCTAGGCGACTCACTGTGTTTGATTATTGTTGTCTCCGAAAGATTGCTGACACTCAGTAACAACATGATGTTATTAGTGCATAGGTATGGCAATGTGTGTTCGAGCAAGCGACAATAATTTAATTGGTGTCACCATATTAAAACACAGATTTTAGTAGCTTGGACATGTACAACGAATGTCATCCCAGAGGATTTTGCCAACACTAGAACCGGTCGGAAAAAGTGAAGAGATGGTCAGTTCATGCCATGGTATCGTAGTATGAAAGAAGGCTGTAAAGAACTGTGGTTTGTTGGTCCTTGATAACTCCCTGGTTGGAGTCCTAAAGATGATGTAACACAGTGGCTTGAGAGGTTCAGAACTGAAGCCAGTGAAGATCCTGTTGTAACTTTCTTTTTTTTTTATATAAGTGAGAGTAACTTATCAAACCGAGAGAACATTTTCTGATTAAATTGTTCTTCCTTGAACTTCTTATCCTATTGTTTTATTATTATTATTACACCCTCATACACTAATTTATACTCATTTCTGTTCCTTTTATTATTATACTTACATTCCTTTCTTTGTATCTTCACAACTTCAGTTTGATTGTTTAGCGCTCCTGTTATGTCTAGAAGATTGTTCTTCATATACCGCGTATAACGTGAGCGCTAAAACACCAGAACCCTTCCAAGTCGCAATGAAAATACAGAAGGCTAATGAAGGGAGTATTATTCCCAGACAGTGTCAAATTATAGTACAAAATTGTCAGGTATTTATAGTTTTTAGTGAGAACAAAATCATCATTACAGTCCCCCGATCCGCATACAGGGGGTTATTAGCATTGTCCAATCAGGAGGCTACGCGTAGGAATCCTAGATTATTCTTCCAAGAGGTGATTGGATGGAATATCTTCGGCCCCTTCTGAGCCTCCTACAACTTCCTCGAGTTCACCCAAGGTCCGTCGTCACGGCTTCCTTGTGTCAATGTTTATGTGTTTAAATAAATAAATAAATCTTTATGATAAATGAAGTTGTTTAGTTACATAACAATGAAAATAAGATATCAGTTTGCGTTGCATTTGAACTATCAATCAGGGGATAACTATTCTAGACTGAGTTGTTAGAAAGAGCTTTCATTAGGTTCAATGTCATATAAACCATAGAATATTTTGTTTAATCATTTGAACTTATAAAATTACAGGGGACTTGTAGAAAATTATTTTATTCAAGAGGATCTAAGTAAGATTGAATAAATAAAGTTAAGTTCATAACCATTCAATCTTCTGAATATAACGATGAAAGTTAATACTCAGAATTCGCTTTGAAGATATACAAAATGAGTGGAATTTTCGAATAGTTTGATTCTACGTCCAAATAAAGTATACCTTAAGGTCATTTCTTATAGCAGTGTGAACAAAAGAAATATTCTCAGAAGTCTCTTATTTGAATATTATCAAAATGAGTTTTATAACTTGTGGCCATGCTACCCCTATCAATATGTAATGTAATGATACCGTCAATTAGAGGACGGTGTTTTATCGACTGGACCAATGACGTGTAAACGCATACGAGCAGTCTAATGATTCTATCGATCCTTCTTCCTGACTTACTCTGTCTATTAAGTCCAGAACATCTATCTCAGCCTCCTTGACTTGGATCATGTATTTCAAACATACTTGGTCTATATACAAACCAAATAGACCATATCGTACTATAGAATAGGAAATATACATTTGTACAAGATCTAGCCAAAAGTGAGTGTGAATGTGGGAGATTGTAATTAATAAACTGGGAATATCTTAAGAATAGCAAATTGTATAATAATAGTGTATAGGTCAAAATGAAGCTTATAACAAGAGGAACAAAAATATGCATAGTGTAGCTAATTAATAATTATACAATAAAAATATATGTATCGTATTATACCATAAATAGATCTCAACAGTAACCATTCATTATCCTCGACGAGATA